AGAATCGAGTGTGAACAATTTGTTCTAAAAAAAAAAAAAATTTTGTTCTATCCGTCATTCGGTTGCCCCCTTACGAGCAACCCTCAAAAGTCTTTGAAAGTCTTGTGCGAGCAAGGAATGACGGGGGCCTTACCTTTTAACGTGTGATCCCAAACACTTTCTTGGGCCATCAGAAAAATTTCTGCAGTCGACGGGGATCGAACCCACGACCGGCAAGCGGATGCGAATTAGAATATAGACACTCTGTCCGCACGGCTACCTGGCCGGATATTGATAACATCACGAAAAGGTGTATGTGAATCAGTGAAGGTGAAAAACTCACCACAGTTACGTTGTATAATGAAAAATTGAAGAAGCAATAGTTTTTAGAATTCAAACATAGCGAAATTGAGATGATTTAATAGTGAAACTGGTGATATCTAGTTGAAACTATTCGAACTACCATTTCAGACATTTTTCCACTTAATGTCATAAAAATCTTGATATACGTGTTCTTTGAGTTGTGTCACTTTTGAAGCGGGAGTGCTACATGTTCTCAAGAGGAAGACAAAAATGGTATACCTGAAATTCAAGCAACACCCAAAACAGACACAATGATACAATACATCGCAAGAAACATTTTCTAAAAAAATTCAGAAAAAAGTACACAATACCACATTTTTTATTTATTATTGAATGTCAATATCAATCTACTTTCATTTCGTTTTGTGTTTCGTCTTCTATTACTCATTTCACTCATCGTCCTAATTTCAGACACACCCTGTAGAAGACACTAGGAAATAGACAGGCTAGCACACATTATAGGGATCTTCTTTCGTGCGCTCCAAGCGATAAACAAATACCTATCTCTGTATACAGATTGTTTATCGAATCGTTCAATAATGTAGGAGTATCATGGGAAAGTATCGCATTTGGCAACATGGCAATCACGGAGAATAGCGGTGTTGTTTCACTGTTGTTTCACTGATGTGGTGGCCAGCAATGCTGACATTTAGACAGTTGGGCTCATAATGAATTTCAGTTCTCATTCTGTTCAGATATTCCAGCAGATACTGGCAGAGACGTACGTTAGCCAAATCACTCGCTCTTGCTATGTTGCCATTTACATGCTCAATGTGTACCGATTGGGCAAACAATCTGTATACATTCACTCAACTGCATGAGCATGAAATTCTATTCACTAGCTCCTGAAACGTAGTTTTTGCTTGCTTGATAATGGTAATTTAGAGCAAATTAGAGATAATTGGTTTATATGAATTTTTATCATCGTCCGAACTTTCGACGCTGATGCATAGAGCATGCGCCAAATTCAAGAAATTGCAGTGACATTTATACGCATTAGATAAATAAGCACGCATAACTGAAATTTATCAAAAATGGTTGAACATATCGGTATGAAAATTGAATTACACCTAAATACACGTAACGTTCTGTGACGGTATTTGTAATATCCTTCAATTTTGTTCCATCATGCTTCGAATCCTTTCGAGGCCGTTCTTTGGGATATAGGTTGGAAATTTCAAAGTTTTACGTAAATCGATCATTTATCTTTGAATTGGACGTGGACGGAGGATGCTTTTGATCAACAGTAATATTCAGAAAATTTGGGCAATCGATTTTCTCTTTGAGGAATACATTATCATCTCTCTCTATTATGAAAAGTTGGCGATCTGGCTCTATTTTATAGATATTCTCATGGACGATGCTCTTCTGAAATATCAACAATTGTTCCTCCCTTGGCAGTCCCCGCGAGATTAACCGTTACCACCGATACAACAAGGCCTGCATGCTCCGTGGGTGACGTCACTTAGTGAGGCCTAACCAGCGGCTCGAAAAAAGGATGCCAGTCGTCAACTGAGCCCTTCTTCGCACCCCATTCGATTTTATTATGGAAAAACGAAGTTTTAAAGCAAAAACCAGGATAAAACACAAATATCCACCTACAGCAACCCATTCGAATTAAATATATTGGCAAAAATTGTGGTGAAGGTAAACTTCACACCTACTTATACAGGGCCCGCAGAACATAAACTCATCGTGAGATTGATCGAAAGAAAATCGTGGAAAATGTATTTTATTTTGATTGACATGCCGTTTGTTACAATTACCTATATTTATCTTGGAGAATTCCTATTACCTGAAAAAATAAGCAGTGAGTGTTTTCAATTTTCTGTTGTTGGATTTTTCACCCAAGTGGATAGTTACACTTGAAACCAATTTTTAAGGGTAAAACTGCATTTATCATGCGATGGTTTTTTTTTTGAAAATTCTTTTCGGTACTCACGTATTTTTGTCTGATAAACCGAATTTTATAATGAAAATGTGAACAAACCACTATTTATTGAGATATCTCGAGAAAAAGTTCGAAATTTCGCCTTCTTTCTCCCCTTGTGTTGGGGGCATTTGAAGCTTCTTGCTCTTATTTTGTCATTGGACACTTTATATACTTCGATGGCACATTTTTATATAGAAAATTCAACAGGAAATATGATTTTCATGGCGAGTTTTTCATATTTAGTGAACAAGCATTCCAGATGACGACCATTTAATCAATAGTCAATCAAAAAACGAGATGTCAAATGTCAATAGATTGCTTTCGAATGACATTACACACGCCATTATTTTGAATATTCTTCCTTCTCTTCACTAAATATGGATTAATCCCAAGAAAATCATATTTATAGTTGAATTATATATAAATCGTCCAATATGATGAAAAAAGAAGGGAAATTTGTTCTAAATGCCATCCAGAAGACAGGTGAAAAAGAAGGCGAAATTTGAAACTTTTTAGTCAAATATCTTCATGATAAATGCAGCTTTACCTTTTTGAGTAGAGTGTTTGTAGTTCATGTCAATATGATAGTTGCAATTTGATCATTAGAATGAATTCTGCATTCATTGCCACGAGGCAAATGACCGTTTTCAGAAAGAAATTTGAGAATGAGGATTAAAAATGCCCGTTTATTATGAACATTCAAGAAAATTTCCTCGAATTCAGAGATGATTTTGTTGACTATAATATACGAATACAAAACTAACTGCACAATCAAAGCTTTCCTATTTTTCCTCTACTTATACTTTTTATGAGAGAGTAATTGTCTTCTATTATTAATTCATCATTATAAATTAAGCTCTGTTTACTACTGAACTTAGATGGAGTAAAATCCTCGCGGTGAATTGCATATACCCACATTTTCGATAGCTCCTCGTCCAACAGAAAACTAAAAGCATGAACTTTTGAACAACCAACATAATTCCCCCGACAAAAGGGAACACAACACTTGAAAGGCATTGTTATTTCGCCGATCACAACACAAAATATTTCACAAAACAGTAATTTTCTCGCCAATTATTTCGATGAATAAACAACAAAAGAATTCGGGACCGTTTAAAAAACATACGTGAATCACCGATTAATTAACACGAACTGACGCGTTAGTCGACAAGCGATAAAATAAAACACTGGCCTCTCTTGGTGACGTCACGAGCTGTTTACGTCAGAGTCTGCTGGCCTTGTTGTATCGGTGGTAACGGATTAACCCGTCGAGTTGAGGCTTCGCACCCCTTCGTGGTCACTTTGGAGACCTGCAGAACATCTCTTTCCGAAGACTCGTTCATATAACGAACAGCGAGGCTCTGGAACACATTGCAAAGGGAGGTGTTCCCCGAGGCATATAACCTCCAGAAATTCAAGAAGAACACCAATTCCTACCTCATTTCTCTTGGTTCTCACGATGTTCTCTGAACATTATAGGATATCCCTTTCGTGGGAACCAGAACATAAAAAAAAGTTCTTCAAAAATGTGCACAAAAAGGGACCAGGTGGAAAGTTCAGGTGTAACTTTCAGGTATAACTTTTCAATCAAGCTACATTTACCAGGTGTAACTTTTAAATCAAGCTACATTCACGCAGAAAGTGATAATACAGTAAACATAGAGGAAAACATACCTATACGAAACATGTCACTTTACATTTTTGTGTTCTTCACAGTAAAAAAAAATGAATTTTCAGAATTGTGTGAATTCCACAGAAAAGATAGAGTTGTTTCACCACTTAGTCGTATGGACCAGGGGTCAATCAATTTCGTTATTTTGTGAAAGTTATGTTGCTTTTGTTGAATCCAAGTTCAAATACAGTGATAGATGATACTACCTAAATATGCAGAGCAACCAAGAAAATCACGTAATCAGATGTCAGTAAATATGCAGTGAGGACGCAAAATATCCTTCAACCCCCTTTAACTTTGGAACAGGACAAGCTAGCGAGGTTGGGTAAAATTTAGGCATTCTTGCCTTGGAAGGAAATATCCTTTCTGCATAAGAAAGGAGACTACTTTTTCTGAACATTTTAACCTTGCTCGGCCTAAATGATACTCCTTCCTAGGAAATATATTTTCCTGGATATTACTTGATAGAGCAAAAAAGACTAGACTTCTTCAAAACAATCTAACCTAACTCGGACTAAATAAACCTTCCTAAAGAGTATATTTTTCGATAAATTGCTTGAGGGAACAAGGGATACTACTTTTTCTAAACAATTTAACCTAACTCAGCCTAAACCAACCTTTCTCCTAAGAAGTATACTTTTCGGAAAATTACGCATCAAGCATAGTATATGGCAACAGTGCATCCTTCGGGTATGTTCGGACACTGTGGGAATATGGAAATGTGGGGCTAACGACATGTGGGCCTACCGAAATGTAGGTGTAACGCGATGTAGGCATAACGAAATGTGGGCATGAAGCAATGTGGAAGTAATGAAATGTAGGTGTAACGCAATGACAGTTTCATTGAATTCTGGTATATAGGATACAATTTCTGTCCTTCGTGTATGTTCGGAGACTGTGGGTGTATCGAAATGTGGGGCTAACGGAACGTGGGCATATCGAAATGTGAGAACAACGCGATGTGGGAGTAACGAAATGTGGATGAAACGACACGCTCCTGAATGAATCACAACGGTAATATCCAATATACATTTTCTTTATTTTTCTTTTCAGGTATATGAACGGCCAGACTTCTCAACAACCCCCTCCACCCTACACTGCCCCCTACGAACAATTCCCTGGGTGTAGAGACATGAACACATTGCACGCAGCTTCCCCCTACGGACTCACCCAGTGCCCGATTCACCGTATCCAGACGTGTTCTTGTTTAGCGCCTATCAAAGTAGAGGTAAGCTTTCCAATTAGGTAGTCATGTCGGTATGAAATCTAATGTGTCTTGAGTCATTGGGCCTTTTCGGAAACCTACTCGAGTGGAGTTGACCAGGGCCTACTCTATCTAATTTAAAGGCGAATTTTCGAAAACTCTCGAGTTAATAGTCAAATATGAATGATGGATATCGAGAAGGCCGTTTCTGAATATACTGAATCGAATGGGCCATGGTTTTAGTCACCATTTTTTTATTTTTTCACTGAAATGATATTTTATCCTATTTTCTCATCATCCTGTATATACCACTAGTGCTTTTTTGTCATTCATTGTCCTCCACAAGACATGAGAACAGTTTTTCCCAATAGTCAGCTCAAGTGGAGTTCTAGAGAAAAAATTCATGAAATGCAAGACTTTCGAAAAAAAATCGAATTTTTGTTCCAATGGCCAATAAAGGACAAATCACGAGAATGTCCCGAGAAGAGGTCCCTGTGTATCATAATATGACTGACTTTTGATCAGAAAAAAATTTCTCGAGTCTGGCAGCATTAAAAATGTAGACCATAGTGTAATGGTTCCACTTTACACCCTGGGTAAGTTTTGTTCTGCGGACTTTTTCAGAGTGTTCTAGCTCTCTTTGAAGCCGATGAAATATCACATATGATATCGAAAACCGCGAGAAAAAATACAGGTCTTCGAAATAAAGAAAAATTATGAGTGGTCGAAGCGTTGTATACGGAAACTCTTTTAGTCCAATAAATAAAGGGAAAAAGTTAACATCAATTACGTACTATTTTCATCTTCCGGTTGGAAGTAGCTTTTGGTACCTCATTAAACATGAGACAAAGTTTGACTGGAAAACGCGTGCGATGGTGGAGAAAATGGCCCCAAAAGACCAGAAAAATAGGTTTTCAGCCAATATCTCCTCAAATATGGCAGTTTGAGATTTTCGGTTCAAATAAAAATTGAAGTTCAGTTAATTTTCTACAAAAATGGTCCTTATCATTTTTCTCGAAAATTTGCCCGGTTTCGAGAAAAACGGCACGAAGCGCACCTCGAATAATGAGCTTCTGTTGTATGCCGGAGAGCACAGTCCGTGTATTTACACATCGGCGGGGGGGGACAAATTATTCAATAACTTCGTTAAAAATGCATATTTTCTCATGATTCAAAGTTCATGTGAAAGAGGAATTCTGCTGCTATCATACTCTGTGAATTGAGTCACGCTTGACTCTTTTGGCCATATCGGAACATGGGTCAAACTTTCTGCTCCCGGTCAATTTTGACCTCGCCAGGAATTTGTTCCTATTTTTTTTGTATTGCACTAATTTACTCAAAATTTTCTCGATTATGGGTACCTAGGTCCTTTGTCATCCCTGAAATTTGTATACCCTAATTTTTTTTAATTTTCATTTAATCTCTGTTTATTGAATCCCAATTTTTTGTTGTTTTTGGAGCGCGGGGAAATTTTGAGAACAACCATCAATTAAAAATGTATACATGATCCGATTGGTTTCTATGATACATCATTTGAAAGCTAAGAAGGTCTACTTTTCGATTGTGCAATTACTTTTTTAGACGAAGTCGTCCATTTTTCAATAAAATTAGAAAAAGCAGGGTCAAGGAAAAAACGCACTTTTTTCCGGTGGTTTTTTTCTCCGTGCTCTTTATTTCTAATATTGATGTTGCGAAAAAAATAATAAGGACCATTTTTGTAGAAAATTAACTGAACTTCAATTTTTATCTGAACCGAAACTCTCTAACTGCCATATTTTAGGAGATATTGGCTGAAAACCTATTTTCCTGGTCTTTTGGGGCCATTTTCTCCGCCATCGCACGCGTTTTCCAGTCAAACTTTGTCTCATGTTTAATGAGGTACCAAAAGCTACTTCCAACCGGAAGATGAAAATAGTGCGTAATTAACGTTAACTTTGCCTTTTTTCCTCCTTCATTTATTGGACTATTTAGAGAGCACATATTGCCGTGTATGAACTCTACTATTGTACTAGAACATTGTCAATTATCTTAACGTACTAAATGTGTATGAAATGTACTAGAAAAGTACAATCGTACTAAAAACTCTGGTTCTCTTCCAGAGCATGTCGCCGGCGGGCATGTCCCCCTCGTACCCCCGCTCGGAGCCCTCCCCCGACCCCCTCACCGCCCAGTACCTGGTGCAGCGGCTGCCCCGGCCGCCCTCCAGCTCGCCACCCCTCACGCCGCAGCCCGCGCACGCGCCCCGGACCATGATGGGCCAGATCATCGGCTCGCTCAACAACAGCGCCATCTTGGACGATCTCAACATCAACGTGGAGTCGCTGCAAGGTAAGACCCATCTCTGAGAGAACAGTTTATTTTCAATAAAGAATTTTTATTTGTTAACAAATGACATTGTCGAAAATTGACTAACTAATATAATTTCATCACAGACTGATGGTATTTCAAAAAATTACAAATGAATATACAGGTCAATATATTAAGTTTATTTTTTAGTCGTTCTGTAGGAACATGTCATGTGGCTAATAAGGCCCACTTGAATGTTTCCTGTGCCTTATTTCATTACCCTACCTCGATTTATTCATCCTTCCCTCAATAGATTCAATCCAAATTCCTTTGACTCGAAGTTATATGGACAATGGCCAGAAGGAAGCCTACATGCAGCCAAGAGAGTAGTAGAAAGATGTGAACGAGGTGGTCTCTGACAAGCAATTGTCCTATCTTGATCACAAATTCATTAACTTGTCTTAAAACCACCTCATTTAACATAATTCTAATTCACAACGAAAAGTATTTCTTGTCAAGCGAGACAGGTTGGCAAGGATAGTTTCTCGAATAAGTCATATTGAAATGCCACATGATAAACCACGTGTATATGCATCGCACTAGTAAAATATCTGAGCTTGAATACTCTTTAATCAAAGTCTATTACTCTACTTTGAGACACTCTTTAGTTATTATTTGAAACAATGAATAACGTTAACTTTACTCTCAATCTCAAATATACCTGTAAAAGGGATATAGTCCAATAAATAAAGGGAAAAAGTTAACATTAATTACGCACTATTTTCATCTTCCGGTTGGAAGTAGCTTTTGGTACCTCATTAAACTTGAGACAAAGTTTGACTGGAAAACGCGTGCGATGGCGGAGAGAATGGCCCCAAAAGACCAGAAAAATAGGTTTTCAGTCAATATCTCCTAAAATATGGCAGTTAGAGATTTTCGGTTCAGATAAAAATTAAAGTTCAGTTAATTTTCTACAAAAATGGTCCTTATCATTTTTCTCGAAAATTTGCCCGGTTTCGAGAAAAACGGCACTAAGCGCACCTCGAATAATGAGCTTCTGTGTTGTATGCCGGAGAGCACAGTCCGTGTAGTTACACATCGGCGGGGGGACAAATTATTCAATAACTTTGTTAAAAATGCATATTTTCTCATGATTCAAAGTTCATGTGAAAGAGGAATTCTGCTATCATACCCTGTGAATTGAGTCACGCTTGACTCTTTTGGCCATATCGGAACATGGGTCAAACTTTCTGCTCCCGGTCAATTTTGACCTCGCCAGGAATTTGTTCCTATTTTTTTTGTATTGCACTAATTTACTCAAAATTTTCTTGATTATGGGTCCTCATAATGTCCTTTGTGATCCGATTGGTTTCTATGATACCATTTGAAACCTAAGAAGGTCTACTTTTCGATTGTGCAATTACTTTTTCAGACGAAGTCGTCCATTTTTCAATAAAATCAGAAAAAGCGGGGTCAAGGAAAAAACGCACTTTTTTTCGGTGGTTTTTTTCTCCGTGCTCTTTATTTCTAAAATTTTAACACCTTAACTAGTGTAACGGGGGAATTCTCACCTTTCCATCGATGTATATAAGTCATACCTTTGATATCCCGGGAAAAAACCAGTGTATCTAAAGGTACACGCTATAATTTATTACTTTCGTTCCTCCGTCGTTCGCCGCGTGTGTGCTCTACGTGGCGCTCGGGTCGTCTGCTACAAACCATGCGGCCACGCAGGGTATGATAGCAGCAGAATTCCTCTTTCTCATGAACTTTGAATCATGAGAAAATATGCATTTTTAACAAAGTTAATGAATAATTTGTCCTCCCGCCGATGTGTAAATACACGGACTGTGCTCTCCGGCATACAACACAAGCTCATTATTCGAGGTGCGCTTAGTGCCGTTTTTCTCGAAACCGGGCAAATTTTCGAGAAAAATGATAAGGACCATTTTTGTAGAAAATAACTGAACTTCAATTTTTATCTGAACCGAAAATCTCTAACTGTCATATTTTAGGAGATATTGGCTGAAAACCTATTTTCCTGGTCTTTTGGGGCCATTTTCTCCGCCATCGCACGCGTTTTCCAGTCAAACTTTGTCTCATGTTTAATGAGGTACCAAAAGCTATTTCCAACTGGAAGATAGTGCGTAATTAATGTTAACTTCGCCTTTTTTTCCTCCTTCATTTATTGGACTAATAGGACTCTTCGTTACCTAACTGAATCAACTATGTTTATTATCATATGGATAATAAAGGAATGGAAGTGAATGAAAATTGGATCTGAACCCAACTAACAACTAAGTAACATAAAACTGACTCGATATTCACTGCTTCAGAAGACTAGTTGAGAAATAGTGATAATCGAATAACGTAACCGTAACGAACCATGATAATTGAGTTATCGACTCGAGTAGTTGATAACTCTTTAACTCATAATGAAAGTGAAAATTTCAAATAACAGATTACTTTACCAGCATTCCACTTATCACGTGCCACAACTGAACAGACCAAAACTCAGAAACGAACTTCCACAAAATTGTGACGAACATTACTTTAGTATAGTTAGTGTATCACGCGACATGAGGGAAGCGAAAACCCGGCGCCAAATTGTACTTGGCCCATTATGTGATGTTATTCCATTGTTTGGGTGGTATTTAGAAATCTCTCAACTATACTTCCATCCAAAGAAAACCATAAAAAACATTCAACATATGTTCCAAACCCAACAAGATTCACTTGACAATTTATTGTTCTTCCAGGAAAATATACGTAGTATTTTATAGTTGTCTTTGCATGGGCAAAAAACAATAAACCCGGATCCTTTACAGTATGTGTTTGAAATGATTTGAATAAAGAAAACGACCCGGACCCCGTTCAGATGGACCGAGCTAGCCTTGTCCGTTGTACGATTAAAAAATGATATCGGGTTGTAAGAAAAAAGGCATAGTAAAAAAACCAACAACTATATCTCTCGATACCATGTCTTTATTCATCTTATAATTAATATGACAATTATCTATGGTATTCTGGTCGCAACATATCGAAAATATTGCTGAAGAATGATTTTAACGTAGACAGTAAAAAAATTCTCCGAGCATTTTAAAGGGTGGCTGTGAGAAAATTTTTTATTGAAAACTTTGGTAGTGGATATTTTCAACAACAAAAAATCTCGAAAACGGTAATACTTTTTTAATGGTAATTTTGACATATGCAGATGGGTTATCCTTTGATCTACATTCTCCCTAGGTTTGTGACGTGGTCTTTACAAGACACCCTGTATATGAGTTTAGGCAAGCCAAGGTTAGCTTATTTCATTGTACTAGTATTCCACCTGATGAAGCTACTGTGTTAGCGAAATATGTCGTGTGATAAAAAAAATCTGCTATATGTTATCGCATTCACATTATTTTTCCCTTTTCTTCCAAGGCGGGTTCGATTGCAACGTGGAGGAGCTGATCAAGCACGAGCTGAACATCGAGGGCAGCCTCGACTTCAATTTCCCCACGCACCAGCACCATAACCAGCAGCAGCAGCAGCACCACCACCACCACCAGCAGCAGCAGGAGATGCCTGGGCAGGTGGATGGCCGTTCGACGAGTCAGCCGCCCAGCGCGCCGCCATCTTATTCCGCCACGGTGACGACGCCATCTTGGGTGCATTGAATGGGATTCAGGTGAGATTTTTGGATTATTTGTTCTTGTGGAGTATTGGAGAGTGTTGAGTGTTGTTGGTGAATGGAATGCGTAATTATATCCCATACTACCACAATTAGACCAGTGCTGAAGCCTTTGGAAATGGTAAAAAGTGAACAAAAATATAGTAGGATGAAACTCAGCCATTTTATTCCGCCACGGTGACGACGCCATCTTGAGTGCATTGAATGGGAGGAGATTTTCGGATTCTTTATTCTTGTGAAGTTTTGGAGAGTGTTGAGTTTTGTTGGTGTATCGCCCGCTTCGCGTCGTTCGGGTCAACGGCAGACGCGTGCGGGAAAGAATCACTTTCCCCATGAGTTAGGAAACATATTTTTTCTAAAAGCGTAGAAAATTGATTGAATTGTTCAATTATTTATTCATGCAAATAGGAACAACTGACAAGGGAAATATATTCTCTATCTACTAATTATTAGTAATAGCTATTGTGAACTCACAGTTTGAAACATTATGTAGGTTCATTGCGGAAGCCAGCAGTCCCATAAGGTGTTCGATCTCTAAGTTTCAGACATTTCTGAGAAATGAGCCAAGAATACTTCTTCTTTATTTGGTATTTTCATTTCTTCATTGTTGCACCATTCAATAAAACGCGTGTATAGCTTCTCATACCTTTCTTGAGACGTTGGAAATAACGCATCTGTATCGCATCCATATAGCTGGAAGTTTTTGATCACATTGTGGCAATTCCACTGAATCGAAAATGACAGTAACGCTGTGTCTGTCACTTCGACAATTGCAAACTTATTTGAGGTTTGATTGGCATGACAACAATAATAGTTTTTCATCAGATCAATCCAAATCTATAGGGGGATTTTTAAAATAATCTATTTTTATTTTTCAATATTTCTTAACTTTCACTATAAATAGTGCAATTTCATGAAGGATTTTGAACATACATGCTCACTACTGCAACAAACAAACTCAAACTCCAATATTTCTAAATTGCGTGCGGGTATAGGGTGAATCACGCACGATTGTAGAAAAAAACGCTTTTTAACGATGACGTAAGTCATTTCGACATCGATAAAATAGGATGCACCTTTTTTATATCTGAGAAACTGCCTGCTCCTTTGATCTAGTAGCTATTTGCGCCTGATGTCACTCCAATTTCTGTCGTGTCAAGTTTGATTGATGGGTATGGTTTACGCGTAAATTAGCAAGATGAGCCGTTTTTGAAAAATTTCGTCTGAAGAAACCACAAAAATATGAGAAAATCAATTCCGCACACAACCAGTTACACGGAATCATCGATAAAGGTAATCATTATTGTTGTTTATTTGTATATCGTCGTTGATTTGTCTTGCCAAGAAACACTCGAACTTTTTTTTAATTGAATAAATTTCCTTACTAACTCAAATATCTTCCATCAGTTATTTTTCTCAAAAATCTTGAGATTTCTCCATAGGACTTTAGCCGGAAATCGAGAAATCCCATTTTTCACCCTTAAAAACTCACCCCCTTCCACTAGCTTCCCGACTCATAATTCTGATTGTCATTAATTTATCGAAATATTATATGAATCTTTGGCAATGACACTAAGTGAACATCTAGTTTATTACTTATACTCAATATTTACTGCAGATAACACACAACACAGGACTAAAAAATCAGATAATCTGAGAATTATCTTTGAATATTAAGAATATTTGCAGTATATGCTATGGACTTCACTAGACAAGAAGTTTTGAAGGTGATAGACGAGGTTAGGTTTGATACATGTTTTTTTTCTTGATACTTTTATGAAGTCTACGCATCACGCTGTTGCCATATTGTCACGAGCGGGTTCTAACCCCCACAATCGTAACTCGAACTTACTCGCTTGCAAGAGGTTTTATGAAAATTATAATCAAAGAATTCAACTCCACTTTACAAATTTATTAAAAACCAAAAATTTATTAAAAACCAATTCGGGCATGAGATGAATTGACCAATTTCCCAGCAAGATACATCCAACTCAAATAAAAACAAAACAAGAAAACTGAAACTAGTAATATTAAAAAACGTACTTACAGAAATGCTCGCTTTTCGTTGGAGGATTGGAACTGCCACTCACGGAGTTTAGACATGATGCAAAAATGTTCAAGATTTACTTTTTTGTTAGCGAATTTGAAAAAACTATACTTTACGGTCCACTGTCCGAACCACAACTGCCGGTTTTTTCTCTAATACTTTTTCATGTCGGTTTTGGTAGTGGTAATTGATTCAGCATAAAAACTAGTGTATTCACCTCGATTAGGAAAAATCCAAAACCAGCAGTTTCTGCCCGTCAGCGACTTTACTTGAATAATAATAGGATTGAAATCCGAACTATGATTTCCTTTGAATATAGTAATTCTCTACTGATATCCTGTAGCTAAATAATTCTAAGAATATGATCTAGACTAGGTTATTGTACTGTTCTTGAATGAAATGGGAATTTCAAATATTCCCAATAAAATTATTATAGTTTCGATCCATTCTTGACACAATTAGAAGATATAATGATTGCAAGCTGTATGAATATTCGATAAAACATTATTAGTGACCAGGTGGAACTATAGTCTTCTGTGAATGTGAATACTATTGTCTCAGTCATATTGAATCTTTGGAGGTAATTATTTCGTATCAATTTGGTAGCGTCGAAGTATGTGGTTATACTCTCATTGATTTTTGAGTGAGATATCAACAAATAACACTATTGGTGCAAAACGGAGTATCACGTATCATTGAAAGCTGGCGATTTAAAAATTTGTCGGTTTTAATAATTGGAGGAGAGTAGTTGTGATTTCAAATAACGAATGATTGCATCAAATACTATTTATACAGGGAATGATCAATATAATTAGTTATGTGGCGTAAATTCGACTAAACAAGGTTTTTTATAATTGAATGTCAATATTCGAGGAGGCGATTCTTGAGCCCATTCTAAGAAGAAAGTTTCATATGAACGTATGACTCAAACCTTATGGAAAGTTATGTATCCATAATTCCAAATACGAATACGAAGTTCATAAACTATGATTTGTATTTCTGAAATTTGATATAAAAAATAAAATCTATTTCTCTGCATTGTGATATTGTCATATTAACGATATTGCTATGATCATGTAGTGAAAAGTTTTACATTTTTTTAACGAAAACCGTGCATCAGAATGAAAAAATTTGGTGATCTAATTTGCTTAGAAATGATTGGGAATTTCAGGAATGATTTCAATTTCGAGGTTAATCAGTGGCTCACCATCAATGTCTGCCAAAATAGGTACATGAAATTCCATACGAATGCCACTGGTGGCAACCGGAAAAAATGTGGTACACTAACTGATGCCTCTTGATACATAGTACATGTACGCCAAATTTAATTAGAATATCTGTAGTGGTATCACAAATATTAATAAAGAACTATTAATTTTTGAGAACTCTACCACCCTGTATCTCAAAAGTTAGGACGTTTAGGACACATGTTCATTATTTCCATTCCATTATGAAACATACTGTAGTGTGTATTGTCTTTGCTATGTCACTTGAAACACCGAAAGTTTCTCTTTCAATACCACGAATAAACGCTGTTTCATAACAAATTCTTTGATTATTCAAACGAAAACGGTTGAGATTAAATGCCGGATCCAAATAAAATTGCAGTACACGGAATATTGGTAAGTTTCCAGACCAGTCATAGGGTATTACCAGAGCCCTTAACTTTCTTCAGTGAGTGTTTGCCTTCAATATTCAAATTGCGAATCAAAACACGAAAACAGTATTGCTGAAATAATAAATTTTCTGAAATTCGAATAGAACCAGTAATTTGTTGAAAACTTTGCTCGAACACATATTGCCCCAAAACGTCTGATCATCTAGTAAAATATGCGGCTCCTCCGCCTTCCACGTTGTCGGCATACGGGGAAAGCTCAATAGAAAACTTTATTCCTATTAGAATGTTAAGCAAATTGATGAATCCTCGTATTATCTTTGAAAGCAGAAGTATCTCAACTGGTTTTTTGAAGACTATACAACTTCAATATAACCATCCCAGTAAGAACTATCGCCTGGACTATTTTATAGCAGTCACCGACGAATTTTATAAGGTGGCCAAGATACATCTAGGCACCCCCTTCAAGAGCACTCAGGGAGATTAATGTGAAAACATAAACCGCCCCACTCACACATACACACAGAAAGACAGACAAATTGATATATAGATAGGCGCACATAGATTGAGATATATAGCCAGAGTGACGTTCGGTTTTGTGATCAGTCATCATTCATAATGCTCCGGCATGATATGATGTCCGACGGAAAGTTTCTTTCTGAGAAACGACTTTTCAGTAATAAATTGATCGGAGAGACCCGTGCGGGGTAAGTATGTGCGGTCAGGGGTGCAATCTGAGTTTTTTCTAAGGGGTTGATGTTCAGAAACAAAATCGATAGTAATTCTCAACGAAATCCAATTGTTCAGTGGTACCTTGAAGCAATTTCATCGATTTGATGTTTCTGGAAGAACTTTCGATAGTATTGTGAATAGGAATCCTTATTTGGTCCCATTGTACGCCCACATGTTCCGACAATCAACTGGGTATGCCCACTTCCTTGGAGCAGTTCAGCAGCTTCCTTAGCTGAATCTCTTTCACATCCTCTAGCCTCAAAATTATGTTGCCAAGGACAGCCCTCCTCTGATGTATCAGTGCTGGGCACTCAGTGACGTTTCGTTATCTTCCAGGCACTATCTGCAAAAGGGATCATCTTCGATCCTTATAAGATCTCGGTGCCTATTGAGGTGATTGTGCCCCGTTAGGAGCCCCACTACCATTTGAGGGTCTCGCCTGTTGGGAGATAAGACCTCTTTTTGTGAGCCTCTTCGAAGGTTCCTTCATGTAGATCTCCGATTGTCTCATTCTTGGTGTGTCCCGCAATATTTTGATGAATTGCTTGCTTTTTGTTTCCTTTTTTTATTTCTCGCAGCTATTCCTTTCTAT